GGAGGTCATCTCATTTATAAGTCAGCATCCAGCGCTCTTGAGCGTAAAATAAATTCCATTTATTAACAGATTTGCTAATTACTTCTTTTTTATTTTTTTATGATTTAAAGGCTATTTTTATTTAATGTAGAGATGTAAATAAAAAAAAAACAAGTTGAATAAGCACTTTTTATTTTCACACAGATTCACAGAAATTCACAGAAATTCACTGGCTTGAAATGGGCAAAGTTTTTTGGAATAAAGATAAATGAGGTTTAAATAAATATAAATGTTTTATTATTGTGGAATAGAAATGTTGAGAGAAAGGATCCGACGAAGTGAGAAATGTCGCGAATGGAGTGTCGCGACATTATTGTATTTTGTCTAATGTGTATGAAATAGTCTGAAATAGTCCTTTGGCCCACATTTTCACTCAAGTCTAAGACTATTGATCGTCGACAGCTGCGCTTCCCTTCCCACGTTTTGCAACGCACCCGAGTGCGGCGAATCCTCGTTCAAATGAGTCATGTCCGTGAATATACATACCTTCAACCTTTTTCCACCGCAAATTCTAACCTTTATTCTTTCTTTCTTTTTCGTCTTTTTTAGATTTAATATCCCTTGAAGAAACTGACTAAAGTATTTTAGGAAAAAAACTTTAAAAGATCAATTTTAAAAACTTATTTGCAACGTTCGATTAAATTTTTTTGCAAACTTGATATCAAATTTAAATTTTGGGAGCTAAAAGAATCTGAAAAACATGTTTCAATCGAATTGAGTTTATTTAAACAATTTTATCGCCGCAGATTGAAGATTTTGTAAATCTGACATCAAATACAAACTCAGCAAAATCAGAAACTCCGGAGCAACAAGTTTCAGACGAATTCTCCAAAATTAATTTATTATCTAAAATTTTAATTGAAATTAATTTTTAAATCAATTTTTCAGGGTTACCACGCTTTTGCTCTTTTCAAATTCCCTGACTTTTCCAGGTTAAAAAACGGAATTTTTCCAGGTTTTTAATACGAAAATTATTCGAAAATATCAATAACTTCATTTTTAAATAAATATTATTTAATCATATATTTTTTCATATAGAAATTAAAATTTTCAAAAATTTGAAATTCAATAACTTATATAAGAATATTATTATAAAACATAAAGTGATAGTGATCGCTTTTTTCATGTTTTATAATAATTAAAACTTGCTACTTTGTCACTGTAACTGTTTCGAAAATTATTTTCATCATTACGATTATTCTCATTTCTATAGAATTTTCAACTAAAATTCTTCTTTAAGTCAATTTTTTAAAATAATTTTCCAAAAAGTTCTTTGAGAATTTTCATAACAATTTGTTTACAAAATTCAATTTTACAAAATTTCAATTACTCCTAAATTCTTTAATTAAATATATATTAGAAAATAAAAACTTTAAATAATTTCAAAAAAAAATCTCCAATTAAACTTTATCAAAAAAAAAATTAATAACACAGAATTGATAGTTAAAAATATGAAAAATTCAGATTTTCAAAGATTTTAATTTGAAACCTTTTCTAAATTCAATATTCAATTATTATCTAAATTTTTAAGTAAAATTCATTTTTAAATCAATATTTTTTAGAAAATTCTACTAGAATACAATTATTTAAAAACAAAAATAAATAATTTATTGAATAATTGAATATTTCTTAAAATTCAATTACCAAAAAAAAAAAAAAAATTTATCAACAAATTTTTGAAATAATTGAATTCTTTTGACGAATTTCAATAAAATTTTTAAGAACAATTACATTTTTCGAAGAACTTGATTAAAATTGTATCAAAAATAATTGAAATTGTGGGATGAGTTTTATTTATGAAAATAATTGAATTCATATGAAATTGAGGAAAATTTTTGAAAATGATTGATATTTTGCAAAAAATTTTATTAAAAATTTTTAAAAAATTGAATTTTGCCAAGAATTTTATTTAAATGTTTGAAAATAATTGTGTAAAAGAGTTTGATTACTTTTGAATATAATTGAATTGAAATTGAATTGAAATTCTGCAAAGATTTTTATTTTTTATGAAAATAATTGAATTCAAATTTTCAGAGATTTTAATTTGATACCTTTTTAAAATTCAATTATTTCTAAAAATCCACGCTATAATGCTTTCAATATTCAATTATAATCTAAAATTTTAAGTGAAATTCATTTTTAAATCAATATTTATTAGAAAATTCTACGAGAATTCAATTATGTAAATACAAAAATAAATATTTTTTTGAATAATTAAATGTTTCTTAAAATTGAATTTTCATATAAAGAATATTATCAACAAAATTTTTAAAAAATTTAATTCTCTTGACAAATTTTAATAAAATTTTTAAGAATAATTTCATTTGTTGAGAAATTTGATGAAAATTGTATTAAAAATAATTAAAATCCTGCGAAGAATTTTATGCTAATTTTTGAAAATAATTGAATCGAAATTTTGACGAGAATTTTTGTAAATTTTTGAACATAATTGAATTTTTTTAAAAAATTGTATTATTTGTGAAAATAATTGAATTCCTGAGACGAATTTTATTAAAATATTTTTTTAAATAATTGAATTCTTTTGTGAAATTTTTTTGAAATAGTAAACATTGAAAATAATTGAATTTTGACAAATTTTTGAAATTAATTAAATTTCTACGAAGAATTTTATTAAAATTATTTTGAAAAAGTAGGTATATTTTATAAAAAAAATTTCAAACATTTAATTTTTTTAATAATTGAATTCCGGTTAAATTTTAAATTTTTTGAAAAATAATTTAACATAGCATTTTATAGAAATTTTTGTTTAATAATTGAATTCTTTTGGAAAATTTTATTAAAATAGTAGAATATTGAAAATAATTGAATTAAAAAAAATGTTTGAAAATAATTGGAATTTTGTCATGAATTTTATTATTTTTGAAAATAAATGAATTTTTGTGATGAATACTATTATTTATGTAAATAATTAAATTTTGCAATGAATTTTATTAAAATGCCTGAAAATAATTGAATTTTGTCGAAGAATTTTGCTTTCATTTGATAATTGAAATGTTGACAATTTTTTTTAGACTTTTTAAAAATAATTGAATTTCTGCGAAGAATTTGATTAATTTTGAAAATAATTGAATTCTTGTGATAAATATTGTTTTTTATGAAAATAATTGAATTTTGCAATGAATTTTTTAAAAATTCCTGATTTTGACTTCAAACCTTTATAACTTTGACTTCAAAAAAAAATGAAATAAAAGAATGTTTATGGCAAGATTTACAAAAAAATGATAAAATCGAAAATTAAATAAAGTTAAGCTAATAAAAAAAACTATTTGGGGGTTCATGGGGTCGCTGATCATGAATAAGAAATCAGTTTTTCAAAATTCAAAATGGCCGATCCAATATGGCGGGCAAATTTTTAAAAATTGATCGGATTCGTTTGAAACTTGTTACTCGGCGGTTTTTCGAATCGCTGATTACGAATCTAAAATTAGAGTATCAAAAATAAGCTTTTTCTAATCCAGGGCAATTTTTTGATTTTACATGTTATATTTAGAATTCTGAAAGCAATGAAAAGCAATTATAAGATTTTCCTTATTCCCGAGGAACAAGTTTCAGGCGAATCTAAAAGGTTTTTAAAAAGTTCATATGCCATATTTGAACCGACATTTTTAATTCTTCAAAATGTCAACACCAGTATTAGTTAGATGTCTGTTTGCAATTTGGAACTAGTTATTTTTGTCTCCTTTTTTATTGAATAAAACTTTTACTCCCGAGTGGATTTTACTAAAATAGTAGTTTGCTTTTTTGTTTCCCATTTTAATTATAAACTAGTAAATGTTACGCGTGCGAAACGTGACATTTAATTTATTATTATGACGCAAATTACAAAATTCTTTTATTTTCTAATATAAATTTTTTAAGAATTTCAAATTCAAAATTATTTAAAGAATTCAATTATTAAGTACGTATAGTAATTAATTGTTATTGTTTATTTAATTTTCAAAAATTTTAATAAAATTCAATTATTTTGATAAATAACAACATTTTTCTGAAGAATTCAACAAATCAAATCAATAATCAAATGTTTTTAGAGTTGAGCTCTTTTCGAAATTGATGATACAATTAATAAAAAAACTCCATTATTTTTAAAAAATTCACAGAAATTCTTCAGGATTTTTTAAAATTTTGATAAAATTTTTTGCAAGCAGAATTCAATGATTTTCAATACATACATTAAAAATAATCTCTTCTCTATTAATTTAAAAATTGGAAACATTTAAAGAAAAAAAATTATTTAAAAAGTTAAAAATAAAAAAAAAACTGGGCAAGTGCGAGTTGCACTCGCACTGAAATGACGGGTTCCGTACACTAATATTTAGATCATCAGGTAAAAAAAATTTTCTTAAATAAATATTTTGTGATCAGATTGTAAAAATACACTAGTACACCAATTTTTAGATCATTAAATCAAATAATGTAAAAAACGTTTTTTCAAAAATTTTTCAAGGGAAGAAAAGTTTGCTTATTACTTGTTTGTTACTACAAACAAAGCCCTTCGATTGCTCGGATTTGTAATGAGAAACGCATCACTCTTTCATAATATAATAATTCTGAAAACGTTGTTTTACTCTTTCGTAAATGATTAAATTTAAGAGAATACAAAATAGGTTTTTGAGGTTTGCCGCTAGACAAACGGAAACTCCTTTCGATGCATCCTGACATAATTATAATAAATTGAGATCATTTTTCGGTATTCCAACTCAAAAATAATAAAAATAGTTTGCAAAAAAAAATTTGTCCACTAAGACGATAGTTTCTTAAAAAATTCTCTAATAGGGCATTGAATGTTAGAACAGATATTTAAAAAATTGATTGACTTATTGAATTTTGTAACTTAGAGAAATTAAATTTACCTTTAATTCACAAATCACAATTTTGTAATTCTGTAAATGAAAGTTTAGAAGATATGAACGTCAATTACTTATAGAAATAAATAAACTTACCATTTTCAAATGCCATTTCAATAATAGGAGAATTGCGAACTCTAATTTTCTTTAGAGGTTTAGGTGGTTTCTTGATACTCTCCATCAGCAATTCTCGTAAGGTAGCTTCCCTTTTCAGTGGTGCCAATTTTCTCTCAGATGCCTATAACAAATATTATATTATTAATCTGATCATCAACATTTTAATAAATAACATTATTGTGAATCAATAAATTTTAAACTTTTACATAAAATGATTAGCGTTCTAGAAAAATTAAATAGGTAAAAAAAAAAATTTTAATTCAGTACAATGTTTTAAATTTTGAAGTTAATAAAATTCTAATTTAATGCTCTGAAGATTAAAAAATTCAAAAAATTATTTAAACCATTATTTAAACAATTAAAAATAATTCTTTTATTATTTTAAATCTGAAATAATTGAATTCTAATAAAGAAATTTATCCAAAATTTTAAAAATATTAAATTTCCTGCTAAAAATTAAATTAAACTCTTTAAACATAAGTTAATTCTTACGATAAATTTAATTAAGATAATCTTCAAAATATTAAAATTCTCATAAAGAGTTTTATCAAAAATTTTGAAAATAATTCAATTTCTAAGATGAATGTTATAAATAACATTTTTTTAAATAATTGAATTATTTCGAGAAATGTTATAAATTATGAAAATAATTGAAATCTTTCTAAGAATTTTATTAAAATTGTATTAAAAATAAGTGAATTCTTATAAAGAATTTTACCATAATTTTTCTAGATAATTAAATAACTTTGGAAGATAATGAAATATTTTAAAAGTATTTAATTAAAATTTTTTTAAATAGTTAAATTCCTCAGAAGAATTTATTAAAATTATCAAAAATAATTGAATTTTTTCGAAGAATTTAATTGTATTGAAAATATTTCAATTCTCATAAAAAATTTAATCAAAATTTTTCAAAACAATTGAATTTCTGCGAAGAATTTTATTATTTAGGTAAAAAAAATTTAAATTTTTAAAAATATTTCATTACATTTTTTTCTTATAAAGAATTCTATTGAAAATTTTCAAAATTACAAAATTTTTGCAAATAATTAAAGTTCTTCAATATAATCAAATGTCTGCGAAGAATTTTATTAATTATGAAAATAATTCAATTTTCATAAATAATTTTATCAATTAAATTTTCAAAGTAAATTTCTGTGAAGAATTTTGTGAAAATTCTTTAAAATAATTAAATTCCTGAGAAGAATTCTATAAAATATGAAAATAATTGAAATCTTTTGCTAAGAATTTTATTTAAATTGCATTGAGAATATTTCAATTCTCATAAAGAATTTAATCAAAAGTTTTCAAAATAATTGAATTCCTGCTAAGAATTTTATAAATTCCGAAAATAATTAAAATCTTGCTATGAATTGTATAAAAATTTTCGAAAATAATTGGATTTTTGTGAAAAATTTTATATTTTTCAAAATAATTGATTTCTTGCAAAGAATTTTATAAATTACGAAAATAATTGAAATCTTGATAAAAAATTTAAAGAAATTCTCGATAATAATTGAATTTGTACGAAAAATTTTATCATATTTAAAAAAATTTATTTGTAAATTTATTTATTTATAAAAATAAATTACGAAAATAATTGAAATCTTGCTAAGAATTTGATAAAAATTTTCGAAAATACATACATAATTGAATTTTTGCGAAAAATTTCATCATATTTTAAAAAATAATTGAATTCTTTTAAGAAATTTTATTGAAATTGTATTGAAAATAATCTAATTCCTGCGAATAATTTTATTAAAGTTTTTGAAAGCAATAAATAATTCTAATTAAATAGTAAATTAGTTAATAATAAAATGTTTTAAATTTTGAATCTGACCTTATTCCAAGACTGAAAATAATATTCGGAAATAAAATTTTTTACTTTGCATAACAATAATAAATAAAATACGTGCGTTTTGCGCGTAACATTTGCTATAGTAATGTAATAAAAGAAATTACTTTTTTTAAAGGAGGCCTGCTCCGAATGAAATCGAGAATAATTGCACGTGCGTCTTTTCTGATTTGTGGTTTCGGTTCAGGTGTTTTCTTCAAATGATAACGTCGTTTTCGAATATCATCCATAAGTATTTCATACGGCGTTAGTTCAAATTCTGCTCCTTTCGCCATGCCGCGAATGGAATTTCGTCGACCCAAATCGTCTTCCACTTTCTTCAATTTCACGCCTCTTCTCAGCTCTCCAATTACTTGAACCCAGAACCTTGCCTGTCAACATTTTTTTTTTTAATTTCATTAGCATTTCAAGAAAATTAATCATGTATAAAACAAATTTTAAATATTTTTTAATAAAATTATTGAAACATTAATGAATTGTATTTATAAATACAATAATACAACAATTGGATAACAATTTTAAAAATTAAGAAATTAAAATTTTCTCCCATCTTCTTGTTTCCGAATCAATTCAAAAAGTTAATTAAAATTGTTTGACTTTTTGTTGTCCAATTGTGTTCGTAAATGACTGACATAAAATTCCAATGTTGATTTTCTAAAATCAATTTAAAAAAAAGTGAGAATAATTTGAATAAAATGAAGTGCGACAAAAGTGTATGATGCAATAGTTAAAATGTACTGCGTAAACCACATACTTGGATCGCTCGCCAAATCCTAATGTCAGTCTATATATAAAAAAGAAGTATGTGAATACAAATTTGTTTTTTGTATTAAGAAAAAAAAAGAAATGTTAACTTATTTCGTTGATGTCATTAATTTTATATGGAAATTTCACTTTTTTCATCAAATAAAATTCAAATCTTCTATAAACGATTTGAATTAAATTTATCAAATTAATTTTTAAATATTGGAAAATACATTTATCCGAATTATTACACAGGGTCGCCACAAAAATTTACTTTTGTTTTTCTCTGATTTTTTCTAATTTCCAGACAAAATTTTATCTTTTTCCCTGATCCTAAAAAATATTCTGCTTCACTCTAAAAATTCACTAAAGATTCACTCAAAAAAATGTTCTAAAACATTTATTTACGAATTTCTTTAATTGTAAAATTATTCAAAAACATCAATAACTGCTTTTTCAAATAAATATTTAATAATTATTATTTTTCCATAAAAATTAAGATTTTAAAAAAATTTTTTATTCCAACTTCGTGAAATTTGATAATTTATAAAAATTGTTACTGTAACTTGTTTAAAATTATTTTCATGATTTCATCTTAATTTTTTGGAACTTTTAATTAAAATTCTTCTCTAAATCAATTATTTTTAATAATTTTTGTCAAAGTTCTTTAAGAAATAAGAATACAATTATTCAAAGAATAATGAAAGTTCACCTAAATTAATTTTGAAATACACTTGTTCAAAATTTAATTGCACTAAATTTCGATTATTTGGAAATTCTTTAATTATAACTATTTATTAAAAAATAAAAAATGAAATAATTTCAAAAATTTGAATTAAATTTTTTCAAAGAAATTAGTTTTACTAAATTGTTAATTGAAAGTATTAAAGATACAGATTTTCAAAGATTTTAATTTGAAACCTTTTAAAAGTAAATTATTTATGAAAATTGTAAATGCAACTCTGTAAAATTCAATTTATAATACCTACTTTTGAAATTTTTATGCTTTTTTGTTTCCTAACTTTTTAAATGTTTAAAATTTTTAAATTAATGTACTGAAAATCATTGAATTCTTGCAAAGTATTTATAGAAAAAATTTGAAAATAATTAAATTCATTTTAACAATTTTATCATTATTTTTTTCAACAATTGAATTCTTTTGAGAAAAAGTAATTAAAATTGTATTTGAAAATGATTTAATTTTTAGCAAGATTTTTATTAAAATTCTTTAAAATAATTAAATTGTTTTGAAGAATTTATTTCAATATTCTTGAAAATAGTGGAATTTTTTAAAATAATTTTTACTGAAAATTTTAAAAATATTTGAATTTTATGAAGAATTTCTTTTAAGTTTTTAAAATAATCGTGTTTATTAATAATTTTAATTAACAAGTTTCCTATGAAATTATATTATTCATAGAAAATTAAATTCTTTTAAACGATTGTATATTAGAGTTTTTGTAAATAATTACAATTTTTTTTGGAAGATTTTCATTAAATTTCGTAAAAATAATGTAATTTTTTAAAATAATTTTTATTGAAAATTTTGAAAATAATTAAAATTTCCAAAGAATTTTATGAAAAACTTTTAAGAACAATCGATTTGTTTAGAAAAATTTTATTACTTTTTTAAAAATAATTGTAGCTGTTAGAGAAATTTTATTAAAATTATCTTGAAGATAATTGAATTTTTTCCTTGAAATTTTTTTTAAAAAATGTTGTTTTGAAATTAATTGAATTTCTCAGAAGAATTTTATTATTTACAAAAATAATTGAATTCTTAACAAAAATTTTACAATTTATAAAAATAATTTAATTGTTTCGAAGAATTTTATCAGAATTGTTGAAAGTAATTAAATATTCATTAAAACTCTTGATAATAATTGAATTTAAATAATATTTTTGAAAATAATTGTATTCTTTTGTGAAATTTTATTAAAATTGTATAGAAAATAATTTAATTTCTCAGAAACATTTTATCGTTTATGAAAATAATTGAATTCCTTTGCAGAATTTTATTATTTATGAAAATATTTTAATTCTTGCGGAGGATTTTACAATTCATAAAAATAATTGAATTGTTTCGAAGAATATTATCTGAATTTTTAAAAATAATTGAATTTATACTAAAATTCTTGAAAATAATGGAATTTAATTAATAGGTAATTAAAAAAATAATTGTATTCTTTGGAGAACTTTTATTAAAATAGTAGATATTGAAAATCATTGAATTGCTCTAAAGAATATTCTGTAAGGTTAAAATATTGTCAGAAATAAAAAAATTTAAATTGTCTTGTTTTCTTTTTGTGATTTCAAAGTTTATAAGGCAAACAAAAAGAAAAAAATGAATTCTTTTTACTATTTTCATATTCAGAATTTTCTTATGAATTCTAAAAATAAAATTTTTTCCCAGTAGTTTTAATAAAATTTCCTAACTTTTCCCTGACTTGTAGCAACCCTGTTATTGCAGTTAATTTTTAAATTATTATAAATTTAATGTATATGAGAATATAACTCACCCAGTCCGCGAAATCAAGTGAAGTTAATTCGCAAACTGTATCACAGTGTTTTGTACCATCTCCCGTGATTGAATCACGAAAATTTGATTTCTGCTTTTCGTAGGCCACTTTTTCGAGAAACTGCGATAATTCCAGAGCCTCTGTTACAAAGGCTCGAATTACAGCCTGATAATGTGCATCTGCTTGTTCATTATTGCCCACATGCCTTTCGCACATCTATTAGATTTCAAATTAAATAATTATATATCTACCACTATTTCTCAAATTTTGTAATAAAAAATAATAATTAATATATGTGATTAATAATTATCAATCAATTCAAGTCAGGCAAAAAATTTAACTTAACGTTTCGACAGCACCGCTGTCGAAATAATAATTAATTATGATGTTATTGATAATAATAGTATAATTATAATTATTTATTATTTTAAAAAATAAATACCAAAAATATAATACTCACAAGTAGAACATTTTGAAGGGAACACAATTTCATATCATTGGAATAAGAACCGTTTGAATTCTGTGCTATTAAATCATCGAGTTCCGTTTCTCCCGAATCTCGTTCTATTCCTTCGTCATCTGTTTCCTGTAATCTTTCCTCCTCGGGCCGACATTCTACCGTTAACAAACGTAATTTTAAGTATTTAAATATATTTTTCATAATTATCTTTTGAATGAAATTTTTATTTCTATCTTTAAGAACAAAAAGGTTTAAATTTAAAAAATTGTCTCAATTTATAATAAATTTTTTATTTTTATTTTTATTTTTTTGATTAGTTACCTTGATTGTCACTCGTCATTAAACTTATAAGTGTATTTAAATCTGGAGAAATTGGTCTTTCTTCCTCTTCTTCTAATCCAAAATCTAACGCATCAAAAATGACTAAACCCAATGAGAATACAAGCTGAAAAATTAGAGAAATAACATTGAATAAGTTAAAAGACAAAAACAAAGTTGAAGTAATAATTATTGTCTTCACATCATGAATACTTTGCTTTCTCATGAATGTTTTCTTTTTATGAGCTTCTAGAAAAATTGAGCGATTTTTATTTTTATATAGTTATTATGAACTCCTCTTTATTCAAAAATAAACCTCAGGTATTTTTCAATTTTTACAGAACCACCTCTTTTTTATTTTTTTATCATTTTTATTGCAAAGATGAGATTTTTTCCAGTAAATTTTGTTCAGTTAAAAAATTGAATAACAATGGGTTTTTAATAAAATAAACAAAAAGTGTTTAAAAAGTTGGTTTTTTTATATTCTTCAAAAACCCATTGTTCCATTTTTTAAATTTACATAATTTATTGGAAAAAATCTCAGCTTTCTAATGAAAATGATAAAAAATTAAAAAAGAGTCAGTTTTTGTGAAAATTGAAAAATAAGGTTTATTTTTGAAAAAAATAGGGATTAATATTTTTTCTATTTTTTGAAAAAAAAGTTTTTTTATTGAAAAGTGTAAAAAAAATGGTTTAAAATTAACTACAAAAAAATTTTAATCTCTCAAGTTTTGTCATCGAATTGTTGCAAAGAATTTTATCAAAAAATTTGATAATAATAGAATTCTTTCGAAGAATTTTATTATTTATAGGAATATAATTGAATTCTCGTAAAGAATTTTGTTATAATTTTTGAAAATTCAAATTAAATTCTTTTTGAAGAATTTTTTAAATTCCTTTTTAAATAATGTTTTTTTCAAATTTAAAAATAATCGAAGTTTATGAACAATTTCTTTCAAGTTTTTAAAATAATCGTGTTTGTTAATAATTGAAATTAAACAATTAATTATTGAATTTTATTAAAATTTTAGAAAATAATTGAATTCTTTCGTGAAATAATTTTGAAAATAATTTAATTTTTGCAAAGAATTTTACTATTTATAAATTGTTTCGAAGGATTTATTAAAAGTTTAGAAAATAATTGAATGTTTTCAAAAAATATTATTAAATATTGAATTCTTTCATGAAATTTTCTTAAAATAGTATTAAAAATAATTGAATTCGATTGCAATTATTTATAACGAATTAAGAAAAAATTGAATTCTTTCGTTTAATTTTTTTTAATATAATTGAATTTTTGAAAAGAATTTTACTATATTTATAAAAATAATAGAATTGTTTCTAAGGATTTATTACAATTTTGGGAAATAATTTAATTTTTTCGAAAAATATTATTAAAATGTTTTAAAAAATTGAATTCTTTCATGAAATAAAAACAAAAGAAACAAAATATTAAGACTAAGATGATAATTTAGTACGGAAAAACAACAGTCACTTTCTTCAAAATTTACAATTCTTAAAAGGTCACTAACATTAAGTTGCATCATAACAGAATGTTCAATAATAGGTCAAAAGATGCGTCTCGAAATATTTCTAAAAATTTAATGTAACAAGTACGTAAAATTATTTACATATTCAGACTGATTTTTTTTAATATAATTTTTTGATTCCTGAGGTCTGAAAATGTAAAAAATTAAATTTGAATATTTTTTAAATAATTATTAAAACAATACTTCCATGAGAAAGCAATATAATAGAAATATGTAGAAAAAGGCATTCTTCATTATTCAAAATACTTACTTCCTTTTCCGAAACAGGTGAACAACTGGAATCTGAAAAAAGAAAATTTGTAATTTTAAAAAAGTGTAAAAAAATGTGTAGTATAAATAGCTTTACATTTTGCTACCTTTTTAAATATTTAAAAGTAGATAACGTTATAATTGTTTTTAAGCATTTAATATACAATTTAATATTATAATTTAATTAAAATGATTAATCCAAAACTAAATAAAAATAATGAATATTCCTATTTATGTTATTTTTAATAGAGAATAAATAAAACACATAAAAGTTAAATTAAATATTGACTTTTATACCGTATTTAAAAAACAAATAAATACAAAACAAAAATCTGCGAATTTGATTAATGATTTGTGAGAACAAATTTAAGAAGAGATTTAAAATATACAAGAATTTTTAAAAAAGAAAAAATGAAATTTTAATTGGAATGAATGCAACTACTTGTAAAATATTTTAAGATTTGAAAAATAAAAGAATATATTATACATATCTTTATTTACTTTCTTGAATTAATTTTTTAATGTAATATAAATAAAAAAACAATTAAATTTTACGTAGTTATTTATTTTCACAGAATTCATATAATTCTCTTCATTGCAACTAATTATCGTTTAAGACATATAAATTTTTTGAAATTAATCATGGGTGTATCATTTCTAAATATATTCCAAGAGTAAATGATTCTAGAGCAAGATACATAAAGCAAAACAAACATTCTTAATCTTTCTTTTTAGTTAATGATAAACTCATTGCAATTGTATTTGATTCCCGCTATTTCGCTCATGAGAAATTAAACTTATATCCCGTATAAAAAAATTGAAAAAATAGTTGCAGGCCTCGAATTGACTTTAAGGCCCCAAAAAAATAATACTGCAACCTTTCCAAAATTTAATTATTTTTAAGAATTCTTAACTAAACTTTCTCCTCTAAATCAATTGGTTTTAATAATTTTCGAGAATTCAGTTATTAAAATACAATTCAATTTCTTATATAACAATTGTAGCTATCAAGGTGAACAAAGAGTAAAATTTTTAAAGAAATTCTTGGAAAATATTTTAAAAAATAAAGTTTTTGAAGAATTATAATTATTATTATAATTATAATTATTAAATAAAAAACAAAAAAGAATTTTTTTCAAGTAAATTAATCTTTAATTTTCATAAGCGTAAATTTTTAAGAAAATAATTTGTTACTTAAAAGATAATTGCTCAAAAATAACATGAATTTGAAGCGAAAACAAAATAAATCGTTGCATTATTTTTTTGTTTTTGTTTTTAAAAACATTGCGGATTTCCGCTTCATTACAATAAAGCACATTTTTCTTTGATTTTAATTTACCTTCTTGCAGGTAATTATAATTTTATTTTTCGAAAATAATTGAATTTCTTAAAAGGAATTTTTCACAATTTAATGATTACAGGACAAAAAATCAAATTCAAAAAATCCAAGAAAAAAAGTCCAAAATCCAAAATAAATAAAAACGTCCAAAATAAATAATGAAACATGTGAAAAAGACACGTTTTTACATTTTACGGTATGTACACAATCGGAATTTAAAATGTTAATGTGAAAATCGCAGGATTTTAAATATTTACATAAATAATAAAATTCTTCACAAAAATTCAATTATTTTCATAAATAAAAAAAGTTCTAGAAAAATTCCAATTATTCTAAAAATATTTTTAAAACAATTATTTCAAGAAATACAATTATTTTCAACAATTTTGATAAAATTCTTTAAAAAAATTCAATTATTTTTTTCAATATAATTGCAATTAAATTAGTCGATTAATTTAATTATTTTCTGAAATTTAAAATGTTAAGTTTACCTACTTTCGATTTAATACTTTCAATCTCAATTTTTTTCATTGGATTTTTATTTTCTTTGGACATTTTAAACAGGACAAAAAATCTAAATAATAAGTCCAAAGTGAAAATATTTTTTTTTTTTACTTTTTTGGATTTCATTTACTTTGGATTTTTTGGTTTAGACTTCTTGTCTGGATACCCAATTTAATAAACGAATCAATTTTCGAAGAATTTGAATTAAAAGTTTTGAAATTATTGTTTTACTTTAAAATTTTAATAATTCTAAAAAATTTGAAATCTTTTCCTATTGGGCAAGAAAGTAAGTTAAAATTTAAAAAAAATAATTGAAATTTTCTATTTCTCACCTCTATCAAAGTCCATTTGAACACTTCCATCCTTGTGCAATAAAAGATGAGATGAATCGGATAATGTGCGATATTCATTTTGTGAAAGATTTAGAAATGTTTTAGCAGCTTGATAGCATAATGCCCAGGCCTGTTCTTGGCTTATTGGTCCATTGAATGAAAGCAAGACATCTTTCAAATTGAGGCAATTGTTCGAATCAAGTTTGCATTTAGGCTTTTTCGTTCTCTTCATCTTTGAATTAACTCTCGAGAAATTTCCTCCCAAGTTCCTCATGCCTCCGCTAGATTTTGCTTCGTTGCTTGTCATAATATTTTAACGATTAAAATCAATTTCACAGTTTGCAAAATCTGTAAATTAAAACATCATTTTCATTATTTATCCCTTTAAATTATTATTAAAAATAATTTTAATTAACATACAGAATTTAATTAACAAAAATTAAAAATTTAATTTTTAAAATTAATATCAATAAACTTCAAGTGAAATAATAAATAAAATAGATTTATTATTGAAATTACAATTTTAATCACTTATTAGTTACTTTTTTTGAGTTGAATTTCTTTTAAATATAAGGAATATTTATTAAATTCCATAATTATGGAACTTGAGAAATTAACTGAAATAATTTCTATCAATTTGTTGATATTTGTCGATTGAAGCAAAAATAACTAGAAAGGTTTCAATTAGAAACGTAAAAATATTACGACCCACTTGTTCTTGTATTTTAATCTTTGACATTTACCCACAACGATAAGTGGTTTCTTATCATTGAGAGTCATGGCAAACAATAAATTAAAAAAAAAAAAACGTGATAGTGAAGGTGGACAATAGTGTTCTTAATAGATCAATAGCATTTTTACTGTAAAACGAATGCGCAAATCTTTCGGAATTAGCAATTAACAATTTCGTGTTATTTCATTAATAAAGTACGTACATTCACTGAATTTACTAAACTTTGTAAAACAAACAATTCAATTTTGTTAATAAATTATTTTTAATTATATTTATTTATATTTTGTATGAACTTGTAGTTCAAAACAAATATTAAATACAATATTTTAATAATATTTAATATAATATATAATGCTTTAAACATTATTTTATAAATAATTTAATAAATTATCAATTACAAAAATTGGAATTTTTTTATAATTACATTCATAATTTGAATCTAAATAAAATAATAATTTTGCTCTATTTTAATATACTGTTAATTATTAAATAGAAATTTAAAAATTATTTCCAGTTAAATAAAATTATTAAAATAATTTGTCGAATAACATTATTCAGGCTTCGTACTCGATAATCAATTCTAAAAAAGTAGCAAAAAGTAACTTTAAGACTGAAGAAAGTAGTAAAAAAGTAACTATCGAAAAATTAAATTTAACGACTCAATTTTGTCATAATTTCTGAATTAAATTACATTCAAAAATAGAATAATTTCATTTAAATAAATATTTAAAAACCTATTACTTTTTTCCACAGGAATTAAAATATTTTAAATGATTTCAATGTAAAGCCTTTTTGAAATTTAACTATATATTTCTAAAAATAACAACTTTAATTCTTCTCAAATTCAATCATTTTTTTGTTGACATTTTTATATAAAATTATTCAAAACTTTAATCATTTTATTTCACAATAAAAATTTTAATATTATTACAATTTTACAACAATTAAATTTTTAAAGACTTGAACTAAAAAGATTTTTTGAAGTTTAATTATTTTTATAAATTCACGCGAAAATTTTTTTAATATTCAATTATCTAAAATTTTAACAGAAATTTAAATTTAAATTAATTTTCATTACATAGTTCTACGAGAATTCAATTATTTAAATAAAATAATAAATAATTGATGGAATAATTAATTATTTCTTAAAATTGAATTCTAATAAAGAACTTTACCAATTTTTTTTTAAATTATTGAATTCTTTCGAAGAATTCATTAAAAATTGTATTGAAAATAATTGAAATTAAATTAAATTTATTTAAAAATTGAATTCCTGTGAAAAATTTATTATTTATGAAAATAATATAAAAAAATATTTTAAAAAATAAATAAAATTTGTAAAAAAACAAATTCAATAATTGCTTAGAAGAAAATTTAAGTTCGTACGAGGAATTTAATTAAAATTGTACTGAAAATAATTCAATTTTTTTCAAGATTTTATCACAATTTTTAAAAATAAGTGAATTCTATCAACAAATTTTTTAAAAACCTTTTAAAACTAATTAAATTTCATCAAGAAATTTTATTCAAATTGTATTGTGAAAATAAGTGAATTATAAAATTTTTGATAAATAAATTCTTTCAAGAAAATTATTAAAATATACCATTGAAAATAATTGTTAGATTCTAAAAATCAAATTATATTAAAATTTTTTAAAATAATCAAATTTGTTTTGAACAATTTTTATCAAATTTTTAAGAATAATTTCTTTTTTTGAGGAAATCGATTAAATTTGTATTAAAAATAATTTAAATCCTGCGAAGTGTTGTATTATTTATGAAAATAATTGAATTCTTGCAAAGAATTTTTAAAAAAATTTTTTAAATAATTGAATTCTTACAACAAATGTTATTAAAACTTTTAAAAATTATTGAATTCCTGAGAAGCATTTTATTATTTATAAAAATAATTGAATTCTTGCCAAGAATTTTATAAAAATATTTTTAAATAATTGATTTTTTTATATGAAAATAATTGAATTTTTAAGAAGATTTTTATTATTTATAAAAATAATTGAATTCCTGAGAAGATTTGTATTACATTTTTTTAAATAATTGAATTCTTGACAAGAATTTTATAAAAATCTTTTTAAATAATTGATTTTTTTTCGAAAAAATTCAATGAAAATTGATGTTTAAATTATTGATTTTTCAATAATTGAAATTTTCTTTGAGAAATTTCTTATTTAAAATATTAAAAATAATTAAATTTCGTAAAATTTTTGAAAATAATTGAATCGTTTGACAAATTATTATTAACATTTTTTGAATTGATTCGAAGAATTTTTTTAAAATTATTTGAATTGCTGCTTCTAAGAATTTTATAAAAATTTTCGAGACAAATTTCTTTATTCCAACTATTAGCGAATTTAAAGTAATTAAAATTCTCAAGCACAGAAAGAAGCATCTTTTATTGTCACAAATTTATAAAAAAAGTATCCAAATAATAGCAAATCGTAAAAAATTGTAAATAATATGTTTTAGTAAATGAGTACGAAGGCTGTATTATTAAATAATTACTATACAACTTTGAAACAAAATTGCAAAACTGTAATTACAATTTCAGACACCAATCAAGAAAACTTCTTCAATAATTAAACATTTGAAGGAAACTAATTGGACTGGAGACAATTAAAAAGAAAAAAACAACTAAATTCTCTATTGTCTAAAGAAATTTCAAGGACAAGAAAAAAATATATTTTATTTAAGATTCTCAAACTTGTAATAATTATATATTTTGTTAAATTTATCAAAAAAATTAATTATTTATTAATAATATACAATTTCAATCACTATTGAAATATTTTGAAATATTTATAAGATTTATAATTATAAAGTGAAACTGAATATTTATTTTGATAACAAACCTTTATAAATGTTGACCTCTTTGGCTTTGTTAAACTCGAAAACTGCAATATTTTTTAATTAAGAACATGATTAACGGACGAATATTTAACCACTAAGAAACAGATTGGAAACAAACATTATTAACATGACCGATAAACTTGACAAAACTTGACACTTTTATTACACATATAGTTTTATTCGAACATTAGGCTTATTTCCAATGATTAACACTGCAAATTTCTTGACAATTCTTCACCTCTCATATATTCAGTTATTAACTCTATTATTATTTACCCTATTTCCTTCAACAATTAATTATTAAAATGAATCGTTTATTCCCAACTTTTTAGGAATCTGGGTCGACAAAAATGTACAATCCTTTCCTATAGAGCAGTTTTCTGAATCCATTTAATTAAATTTATGCTGATGTGAAATTGACTTTAAGAAATACTGAACGTTCATTGGCGGACTGAAGAAATCCAGCTTTGTGATTGGTCGATAATGCGTCGTCACGTGGTCTTTCCTACCAGGAACGTCGTATTGTTATCATTTATCTGTCATTTTGACTTGACATTATTTTCTGTTTTAACTTTTCAATTAGTAGAAAAATACTGCAATAATTCTCAAGGTTTAGAGGAGGAAATTTCAAGTACACATAATTTAGAGAGCAAAAGTATTTAACAAAGAAAATAGAGGTGAGTAAAACTTTGAGTTTCTTCAAAAAACAAAATTTTTAGGTTAGGTGGTAATATTTTCTTCTTTTTTGCCTATATAATCGTAAACAATTGTAAACATTGTAAATTAAACAAAGTTAAATTCTTTAAAAGTTTTTCTATTTCGTCTAAATTCGATACACTTGAATCTGATACAATATTTTAAAAAATTACCGCATATTATAATTTGTAAATTTCGAACTGTCGAAAGTTGAAAATACATTTGACGTCCCTGAAATAATATTCATTCTGTGTATATGTATTGTTTTTCGGGAAGTTTCAGAAAATCATGCTGAAACAATGGAAGTCTGGTTCTATCATTGTGATTTTTCGTGTAGAATTTGAAACTTTAGTTGATAGAAATTGTATTTTTTTTCAATTCAAAGAGAATTTGACGACTTGTAGTGTAAATGAAAAAGTGATAAATAATTTATAATTAAAATTTAATCGGATTTGTATATTGTATATGAAAAACATTCAAGATTTTTCTACTATACATACTTTTACATTTATTATTAGGACATTTATTTGAATTGTTAATTTCAAATTTTTAATTCTATAAATTTAATATTCCAATTGTTTTAAATCGATAAATAAAAAGGTAAAAAAGAATGAAATTTTTAAAGCAAAAATTGACAAAAAAAGTAGCAAAAATTAAGAATCGTTGACATAAATTTAATTTGTTATCTAAAAAAGTGTATTATTTTGATAAATTATAGATAAGTTGTACGTGGTTTGTGAGGAATTTAAAAATAGTGTCAGAAAACAAGTAGGAAATTTTACTTTTCCGGAATACTGTAAATTATTATTTACAGAATTTAAAAGGTGAGTCATTTTTTATTTCTTTTATCAAATTTTTCACAATGTTTACAATAATAAATTTACTTTAGTTTCACTATATTTAATTTTCTATTTTAATTTTTTTTAATATTCAAAATCTATTTTTAAAGGTCTTGAATTAATTTTACTTTTTAAATTAAATTTATTTCACTTAATGTTTAATTTTTACAAATTGAATTTACAAATATACTAATTTACAGTAAATAAAAATTTCGTGCAAGATTTTTGATTGTGATTTTTTAAAATTATATTTGTCAATCGAATTTCATAACTACAATGACAGATTGTATAATTGTTTGGCAAAATTATAAATATAATTATTGCGTAAGCGATTGTACAATTGTAGTTACAATAATAATCATTATAACGTTTTGTTGAAAATGATTTTTAGAAAATTATGATGAGCCCACTATAATTATAACTATAAATGAGACTCACTATTTGTTTTCATATTTATAAAGTGAGAAAATATTAATTGTTCAAGTCAAGATTAGAGCACCAATAAGGTTTCGACAGCTCAAAGTGAAAACTTTAATAATAATAATAAAAAATTAAAGAACTAACGACTAAAATGTTTGTCATATTTTATTATTACTCGACACTTTACATTGTGGTTTCAAAACATGCAGTTTTTTTTTATTTTAAGAAAAAAACAATCTGACAAATTGATTTTTAATTTTTGATAATTAATTCATAAATTATATAGTAATTTTAAAAAAATCAAAATTAAAATAATAATTAAATACATCTACTAAAATCTAATTTTACTACTTTTTTACGATTTGCTACTATTTGGAAAACATTTTTTGTATTTGTGACACTAAAAGCTACTTTTTTCAATGCTTGAGAATTTTAATTACTTTAAATTCGCTAATATAATAGGAGTAAAAAAATTGTTCTCGAAAATTTTTATAAAATTCTTAGAAACAATTCAACAAATTTTAACAAAATTCTTAGAATCAATTCTAGAAATTTTAATAAAACTCTTTCAAATGATTCAATTGTTTTAAAAAATTTTACGAATTTCAATTATTTTTTAATATCTATTATTTTAATAAAAAAATTCATAAAATTATTATAAAAAATTCTTTGCTAACATTCAATTATTTTCTTAAGTAATAAAATTTTCACAGGAATTCAATTATTTAAAACACTATTTTCATCAAATATTTTTGAAAAAAATCAATTATTTAAAAAGATTTTTATAAAATTCTTGGCGAGAGTTCAATTATTTTTAGAAATAATAAAAAACTTCCGAAAAATTAAATTATTTTAAAATATTTTAATAGAATTCGTTTTAAAAATTCAATTATTTTCAAATAACTATAATGAAACTCATGGCAGACTTTTAATTATTTTTAAAACAATTTTACATCAATTCCTCGAAAATGCAATTATTCTTTTAAATTTTAATGAAAATTCTCCAAAGAATTTAATTATTTTTAAAAAATTTGATATCATTTGTTTTCTTAGAATTTAATAATTATTTTGAATACATTTTTAATTCAATTTCTACTAAAACCAACTATTTACTAATTTTTTTTGATTTGCTATTATTTGGAGACTTTTTTTAGATTTGTGACAATAAAAGCTACTTCTTTCTGTGCTTGAGAATTTCTATTACTTTAAATTCGCTAATAGTTAGAATAACAAAATTATACTTGAAAATTTTAATAAAATTTTTAGAAATAATTCAAAATGAAATTCTTTGCAGCGATTCAATTCTTTTCAAAACATTTTTGAAATTTTCAATATTTTCTAGGTATTTGCAAAAAATTTTCCAAAAGTAATTCAATTATTTTTATAAGTAATAAAATTTTCACAAGAATTCAATGATTTATAACACAATTTTCATTTAATTTTTTCGAAAAAAATTATTTATTTAAAAAGATTTTTTAAAATTCTTGTCCAGAATTTAATTATTTTTATAAATAATAAAATTCTTCTCAGGAATTCAAAAATTTTTAAAAGTTTTAATAACATTCGTTGCAAGAATTCAATTACATATTTTTAAAGATTTGTAATAAAGTTCGTTGCTAAAATTCAATTATTTTTATAAATAATACAACACATAGCAGGATTTCAATTATTTGTAATCAAGTTTTAATGAAATTATTCTTAAAAATTTGATGAAAATTGTTGAAACGAATTTAATTATTTTACAAAATGTTGATATAATTTGTTATTTAGAATTTAATAATTATTTTCAATACATTTGCAATTTAATTTCTTGAAAGAATTCAATTATTTTAAAAAAATTTATAATTAAATTCTCCCTATAATAATTTTATTTTGAAATAAAATGATTAAAGTCTTGAATAATTTTATACAAAAATTTCAACAACAAAAATGATTAAATTTGAGAAGAATTAAAGTTGTAATTTTTAGAAATATAATTAAATTTTAAAAAGGCTTTACATTTAAGTAATTTAAAATATTTTTATTGCTGTGAAAAAATAAACAGGTTTCTAAATATTTATTTAAATTAAATTATTCTATTTGTGAAAGTAATTTAATTAAGAAATTATGAAAAAATTGAGTCGTCAAATTTAATTTTCGATAGCTACTGTTTGACTACTTTTTTAAGTCTCAAAGTTACTTAAACTGCAATATTTAAATTTTTATTTTCAAATAAAATAAGTAAAGTTTTGAACAATTTTACTTAAAAATTGTTAAAAAATTTATAAAAAAATTTATTTAAAAATGTGTTATAATAATTTATATTTAGACATAAAATTCAAATTAAAAAAAAAGTTTTTTCTAAATTTTAATAAAACCTATTTAATAATTTCAACAACAATAAAAAATGATTTAATTTGGGAAGAATTACAGTTGAAATCTTTAGAAATAGTTAAATTTTAATAAGGTTTTACGTTGAAATGATTTTAAATATTTTAATTACTGTGGGAAAATAAATAGGCATTTAAAAAATTTATTTGAAAAAAGTATTTTATTTTTTGAATGCAATTTAATTTAGAAATTTCGAAAAAATTGAGTCGTTAATTTTATTTTTTTCGATATCTAGTTTTTTACTCCTTTTTTTAGTCTTAAAGCAGCTTTTTTCTACTTTTTTAAAATTAATTATTATCGAGTACGAAGCCTAAATAATGTTATTCAACAAATTATTTTAATAACTTTATTTAACTGAAAATTAAACTATTTAATAATTAGCAGTATAATAAAATAGAGAATTGTTATTTTATGTACTTAGATTCAAATTATGAATATAATTATAAAAATTCAAATTCTTGTAATTGGTAATTTATTAAATTATTTATAATGTTTTATTATGTTTATAAAAATAAATAATAAAAATATTGTCTCTGTTTGCAGTAACTTAAGATGAGAAGGAATTTTTAAGAAAACAAAGAGGAAAAAATGGAAATAACAATGCGTGAGTGGATGATGAGTTTTGCAGACGTGATAATGAGGGTTCCACCTCTTTTCGTGATCGACGAGCTATTAAGGATTTGTCCTGGTTTTTCGGGACAAAGTAGTTCCGAAATGGAGAAAATGGGCAACAATAATTTTACCATGATGAATGTATCGGACTCGTTTATCGGCGTAATAGCGTCGGCTTCATCCGAACCATTTTTACAACACTTGAGCCTTAATGCATACCAGATTTATTTCATGACAGCCTTCAAAGTCATTGCCTGTTGCCTAGGTAAGAATTTATCTGCAGTTTACACCTTTCTAGAACGAGAATTCAACATTTCAACCGTCAAGGACAAAGATCATTTCAATTAATTGCAATATCGCCAATATCGAACTTAACTTGTCACACTTGAAGCTTTTTTCCTTTTTTCTTCTCTCAGTCTCTACAAGTCAATTTTCAACTTTTAGACTCATTATGTGTTTCTCGTAACGAGCTTGTTATGTTAATTTCTTTTAATTTCTTACTAAATATACAAAAAGGTCGCACAATTAATGTTCTCTATTCCCTAAGAGAACAAGTTTCTTGTTAAAGGAATTTCATATTTATTCATTTATTTTTAATCAACTGGAATTAATAATTAATAAAAAACAATTTTAAAATATTTTGGAAATTGTTTGAATTTTTAAGTTATCAATACGAAAACATTTTTTCTATTTTATTAATAAAGAAATTTGTTATTATTATCAGGGTTGCCACAGGTAAGGGAAAAGTTAGGGATTTTTATTAAAAGTAGTGGAAGAAATTAAATGTTTAGAATTTATAAGAAAATTCTGAATTTTTGTATCTTTTTCTCTGCCTTACAAACTATGGTATTACCACGAATTCTAAAAAAAAAACCTTCAATTTTTTCTATTTCTGACAATAATTTATTTTGAATAACTTAATTACATTGGAGCTGCCATAAAGTTATTACTTATAAATCAATTCATTAAGTATTTTTTTTGGAAAATTTTAATTTCAATTCAGGTGAAATTAGTTACAATTTAAAAATTTTTTAACGTAATTCTATGAAAGAATTCAACTATCTTAATAAATATCAAAATTCTTTCCAAAAATTCATTTATTTTCAAATTTAAAAAAAATTAAAAAGAAATTTTAAAAAATTCTCGATAACATTTCAATTATTTTTATAAATAGCAAAATTCTACCTCAATTATATTCGCAGGAATTTTAATAAAATTCATTGCAAAATTCAATTATTTTCAAAAATAACAATATTCGTCACAAGAATTCAATTATTTTTAAAATTAATAAAATTCTTGTCAGAAATTCAATTATTTTCAAAAAATCTAAAAATAATTGTCATCAATATTACAATTATCTTTATAAATGAATAGCAAAATTTTTAGGCAAAATTCAACTATTTTCAGGAATTTTAATAAAATTCATTGCAAAATTTAAATATTTTCAATAAACAATAGTATTTATCTCAAAAATTCAATTATTTTATAAAATTTTTTTTCTTATTTCAATGATTTTCAATATTCTATTATTTTAATAAAATTTCCCAAACAAATTCAATTATTAAACAAAAATTTTTATAAAATTCTATACGAACATTCAAAGCAATTATTTTTAAAAAATTCTAATATAAAACTCTACGCAAACATTCGATTATTTGCATAATTAATAAAAATTCCACAAGAATTTAATTATTTACAAATTTTTTATAAATTTGTTCGCTATAATTCAATTATTTTTGCGGATAATAAAATTTTTTTTGACAAGGAATTAAATATATTTTCAAAAATAAGAAAACTGAGCAAAAAATTTGAATTAATTTTAATCGAACTCATCGAGAACTGTAATTATTATTATAAATTTTATTAGAATTAGCTGAAAGAATTCAATTATTTAAAAATTTGTTGATAAAATTCTTTATGAAAATTCAATTTTCAGAAACATTCAATTATTCAATAAATTATTTATTTTTGTATTTAAAAAATTGAATTCGTGTTGAATTTTTTAATAAAAATTGATTTAAAAATGAATTTTAGTTAAAATTTTAGATTATAATTCAATATTAGGTTTAAAAACTTTTATTAAATTTCTTCAATATTTTAATTATTTTTAAAATGTTTAATATAATTCTTGGAAAAATTTCAATTATTTTCAAAATTTCTTCGCAATACCTAATTCAATTATTTTCATGGATAATAAAATTTTTTTTACAGAGATTCACTTATTTTCATAAATAATAAAACTCATTGCAGAATTTCAATTATTTTTAATTCAATTTTAATTGAATTACTCAAAAATTGGAATTATAAAAATTTTATTGAAATTCCTTGAAAGAATTCAACTATATTTAAAAATGTCTTTACACATTTCTTTAGGAGAATTCAATTTTGAGAAACAATTAATTATTCAATAAATTATTTATTTTTGTATTTAAATAATTGAATTCTATGGATTTTATGAAGAAATCAATTATTTTCAAAAAATCGAAAGAATTCAATAATATCAATAAATAGTAAATTTTTCACATGAATTCAATTATTTTAAATACAATTTTAATAAAATTCTTCTCAATAACTCACTTATTTTTTTAAAATTTTGCAAAAATTCAATTATTTGTAGAATTAATAAATTTTTTCGCAGGGATTTAATTATATAAAAAAAATGTTATAAAATTCTTTAAAATAATTGAATTGTTTTGAAGAATTTATTTCAATTTTCTTGAAAATAAAGGAGTTTTTTTTAATAATTTTTACTGAAAATTTTGAAAATAATTGAATTTCAAGAACAATTTCTTTTAAGTTTTTTAAGTAATCGTGTTTATTAATAATTGTAATTAACGATTTTCCTATTAAATTATAATTAAAATTATTCATACAAAATTAAATTCTTAAACAATTTTATTAGAGTTTTTGTAAATAATAACATTTTTTTTTGGAAGAATTTCATTAAATTTTGTAAAAATAATGTAATTTTTTAAAGTAATTTAAATTGAAAATTTTCCAAATAATTGAAATTAATAAAGAATTTTATTAAAAACTTTTGTGAACAATTGAATTGTTTAGAAAAATTTTATTACAATTTTTAAAAATAATTGAATCTTTTAGAGAAATTTTATTAAATTTGTCTTGAATATAATTGAATTTTTTCCTAAAATTTTTATTAAAATTGTATTGAAAATAATTGAATTCCTCTGAAACATTTTATTATTTATAAAAATAATTGAATTTCTTTGTAGAATTTTCTTATTTATGAAAATATTAATATTCTTGAGGAAAATTTTACAATTCATAAAAATAATTAAATTGTTTCGAAGGATTTTATCTGAATTTTTTGAAGGAATTTTATTCTAAAGTTTGAAAATAATGATTTTTTAAAAAGAATTTTATTAAAATTATTGAAAATAATTGAATTTATATTAAAATTCTTGAAAATAATCGAATTTAGTTATTGTTTTTTTACATAATTGTATTCTTTCGAGAAATTTTTATTAAAATTTAAAATTAAAATAAGAAACAAGAATATTTAATATTATGTACTTAATGAGTGAATTCTTTAAATTTTAAATCTGTAATAATTTAAAAATTGAGGTTTATTCTTAAAAATATAAAATGTTTTAATTTACAAATAATTTTACTATTAAGGAAATTTGTAAATAAATGTAATAGAACATTTTTTTTGAGTGAATCTTTAGTGAATTTTTAAAGTGAATCAGAATATTCTTTAGGATCAGGGGAAAAGTGAAAATTTTGTCTAGAAATGAGGGAAAAGTCAGGGAAAAATGAAATAAAATTTTTGTGTCAACACTACTGTGTTATTTACTAATTGATTGATTGTATTTTTCAGGATGCATTGCATCTCTATGCATGTTTATGCATTTCACGAAGCATCTCGTCATTGTATATTTGTACCTGATATCTGTGGGAGTAATATTCATATCATATTGGTCGAACGTTAGTACAATCAAGGCAACAATTGCGTATTTAAATGCACACGAGGGATTAACATGCATTTTGGAGGATGTCTTGAGTTTAAATATAAAGGAGCTATTTCAGTATGGTCCGGGTTATCTTATCCTGCAGAATTACGTTCTTCAAAGTCTCATGTCGACAATTTTTTGCTACAATCACCTCGCTCCAAGGCATCCATTGGTTCAGAAATTAATCAACATCAGCTTCATGGCGCCCTCAATACTGGCAATTCATCCATTATCCGTGAGTTGAGAAAAATTATTCTCAAAATTATTTATTTCATTACTGGTCTCGGATAATATGGCGTTTTCAAAAAGTGACACTTTTTTCGATTCATATTAATAATTTGCGACTATTTCGACTTTTCTTCCACATACATATATAGCACGGCTCGAATCAGTGAAAGTATTTAAAAATATGAACTTTACGGAGCAAAAAAGAAAAATTACGGACCAATTTCAGACAAAAATTTAAGTCAAATAAGAGAACATTTTACTTAAGATTAAAAATTAAAATTATTATTATTTAAATTATTAAATTAAATTTTTCATAACTATAAAACATGAAGATATCGATCAATCCGAGTCTTTGACTCAAAGTGATCGATTTCTTCATGTTTTATAATAAATTAAATAATATCAATTATTCGTCAATTCTTCAATTAAAACTATGTTAGAAAACGAAAACTTCAAATAATAAAAAAATCCAATCAAACTTTTTCAAAAAAATTAATTTCAAACTTCAATTATTTCTAAAAATTAACTGAAATTCATATTTAAATCAATTTTTATTAGAAAATTCTACTAGAATTCAATTATTTAAATACAAATAAAATGCAAATAAATAATTATTATTATGATGAATTATTATTATTGAATAATTAAATGTTTCTTAAAATATTGAATTCTCGTAAAGAATTTAATCAACAAATTTTTCATTAATTCAATTCTCTCCACGAATTTTAATAGAATTTTAAAGAATAATTGAATTCTTCCGACGAACTACAATAGAATTTTTAAGAATAATTAAATTCTTTTCAGGAATTCAATTAAAATTGTACTGGAAATAATTGGATTTTTTTAGCGAAAAATTTTGCGATTTATAAAGATTAAAATTAATATTTTATTTAATAAATATTTAATTAATTTTATAAAAATTAATTATTAAAGATTTTAATTTGAAACCTTTTAAAAATTCTATTAAAATTCAATTATTGCATTTTTCTTAAAATTGAATTCTCATAAAGAATTTTATTAATAAATTTTTAAATAATTGAATTCTTTTGAGGAATTTTAATAAAATTTTTAAAAATAATTACATTTTTCAAGGAATTCGATTAAAATTGTATTAAGAATAATTGAAATTCTGCAATGAGTTTTATTATTTATGAAAATAGTTGAATTCCTAAAAAGAATTTTATTATTTACGAAAATAATTTAATCCCTGTGAAAATTTTATTATTTATAAAAATAATTGAATGAAAATTATTTGAATTTTTTCAAAAAATATTATTAAAAATTAAAAAAATATGAATTCTTTCATGAAATTTTATTAAAATTGTATTCAAAATAATTAAATTTTAGAAAAAAATTTTACTATATATGTACTTATAAAGAAAATTGAATTGTTTCAAAGGATTCATTAAAATTTTAGGAAATAATTGAATTTTTTTGAAATATTTTATAACGAATTAAGAAAAAATTGAATTATTGCAAATATTTTACTATTTAAAAAAATAATTGTATTGTTTCGAAGGTTTTATTAAAATTTTGTTTAAAAATAATTGAATTCTAACGAAGAATTTTATTACCTACTTTTGAAGATAATTGAATTCTTGCAAGGAATTTTATTATAATTTTTGAAATTTATAAACTAGAATAATTAATTAGTTAATTAGTTAATAATTGAATTTTTTTAAAGTTTGAATCTGAAATTATTCAAAAATTCATATTTGAAAATAAAAAATTTTGCATAATACATAATTTTTTGACTAAATTTTCAAAAATATGAATTTTTTCGCTGAGAACATTATAAAGATTAACTCCAATATCCTTTCCGCTGTATTTTTTTTTTTTTTTTTGAAATCTACGCTTGAAAATACACATGTGTTTAAATTTTTAGCTCTCTAGGTGAATTTTCTAAACTGTTTGAAAGAACAAGTTTACAGTTACAATTATAAAAGATTGAATTGAAAAAGAACAAAATGAGAAGTATTTAAAATAATATTTATCTAACAAAATTATTAAAGTTTTGAATAAATAAATTTAGAAATCAGTGGAAGGATTATAATTTGGACAAATAAATATTCTACTAAATTAGAATTCTTTACAATTTTCTTTTTGCTAAATTAATATTCTTTTTACTCAGTATTCTATAAAATTATAATTCTACGAAAGAACGTTATTAAAATTCGATCACATTGAATTTCTGTCCCATTAGTAAGCTAGAGAATAAAATTTTGTGAAATGAAAATTCTGACAAATTCACTTTAGGTTCTTTTCATACGCCTCCTGTGAGCAGCATAATTAATGAAGTGATTAAAACTAAAATTTGACTTTTCCAGACATTTGTCCTGCACCACACTCCGGTGCTAGCGACGCTTCTTCCTTTAGGAGTCTGCAAGTTCGTCATCTGGTATCATGGAATGTCGATATTGAAGACAATCTACATGGGCTATCAACACGTGCGGAACTTCATCCGCAACTACGGCCTCTCCGCTCTCGCCGAATCGGAATGGAATCGCCTCAACGTTCCGTGCGTTCTGCGAACATTCTGGCTCCTCCGAGTTCTAGAGCAGGTGATCCAAATAATGGGAAATCACTATCAAGAGGACACTTTCACGTACTACTTGATGCTGCGAACTCTTCTCGTCAACGGCTGCGAGACATTGACGTCCCTTCTCGGAATGACGAGTATCATCTCCCTGATCTGCCACTACATTGGCACCTTCTTCCGCTGGGTGCTTCTCACAGCCGACGAGGACGACAAGAACATGGGCACAGTGTCCGCAATTTTATTCTACATTCTCGCTCTTCAGACCGGCCTCACGAGTCTCGATCGCGAGAAACGCCTCCTACGACTGTACCGCAACTTCTGTCTTCTCTTCACCGCAATTCTTCACTTTGTGCATAACACCGTGAATCCCTTGCTGATGTCGCTAAGTGCTTCCCATAATCCAGCTCTTCACAGACATCTCCGGGCACTCGCCGTCTGCACATTTCTCATCTTTTTCCCGACAACTCTACTGATCTTCCTCTGGTCACATTTCACCATCAGCACCTGGATGCTCGCCGTGTCCGTCTTCAGCATCGAGGTCATTGTCAAAGTCCTCGTCTCACTCTCAATCTACTTCCTATTTCTCTTCGACGCCTATCGAAGCATCTTCTGGGAGCAGCTCGACGACTGCGTCTACATCATTAGATCCTTCGGCAACACCGTCGAATTCGCCTTCGGAGTCATTCTCTTCTTCAATGGCCTCTGGATTCTCATTTTCGAGTCCGGCGGTGCAATCCGAGCGGTGATGATGTGCATTCACGCCTACTTCAACATCTACTGCGAGGCAACCGCCGGATGGAATATTTTCATGAAGCGTCGAGCTGCCGTCAATAAGATAAATTCCCTTCCGGAAGCGAACGCCGAGCAACTGCGAAGATTGAACGACGTCTGCGCAATTTGCTACCAGGAAATGCAAAGTGCGAAGATAACAAAGTGCAGCCACTTTTTCCACGGCGTTTGCTTGAGAAAATGGCTCTACGTACAGGACAGATGTCCGCTTTGTCACGATATTTTGTACAAGGTGGAGAACAAGAATAAAACTACGACTGACACGAGACAGGAGGGCGAGAATGAAACGGAGAATCCGGTGCTCGAAGAGGTGCCGGAGAATAATTCTGTGCTCGGACAGAGAGAGCAATAGGTAACGGAGAAACTGTGTTGTTACTACATTGTGATATAAATTATACAATAAATTGTAAAGAAAAAAAATCGAGCCTAAAAAAAGTGTAGCACTTCGACTCTAGAATCTTAACTTTTATACTGAGCTTTTCTCACTGATTCTCATTCCATTCTTTTTTTACTTTTTTTTTTGAATTTTTTTAGACTATTTATTGAACTTCCTATTTATTTGCACTTGTGTGTTAAGTTTTGCTCACAACGCACTACATGGTAACTGAACAAAGTGAAGAATTGGTTTTTTTATTGACATTTTAGAAAAATTCCAAGAACATTTTACTAGAGGAATAATGATGATTTTTCAGGCTTCGCACTCATCTACTAAAACCTACTATTTACTACTACTTTTTTCACAATTTACTACTACTTGGATACTTTTTTAAACTTGACACTAAATGATAATTTTTTCTTTATTTTTGGGGGAAATTATTTTATTTCCTTTACAAGCAATGTAACCATTTTTTTGACAATTTTTCGGGGAATTTAAGAAAATTGAGACTTTTTCGACTTATATTAAAAAATTGCAACTTTTTTAACTTTTCTTACAAATATTGAAATCATTTTTTAAGATAATTAAATTTTTCGAATATATTTACATATAATAAAAATATTTTTAAATAATTGAAATTTTGTAAAATTTATTAAAAAATTATTAATTTTTTCCAGTATTTTATTACAATTTAAAAATTTCACAAAAGATAAAATTCTTCGCGAGCATTCAATTTTTCTTTATAAATAATAAAATTATCACAAAAACTGAATTTATTTTAAATATTTCGTAAAATTTTTGGAAAAAAATCAATTAAAAATTTTTTTTATAAAATTCTACGGCTAGAATTCAATTATTTTTGCAAGCAATAACATTTTTTACGAAACTTTAGTTATTTATAAAACTTTAAATAAAATTCCAGTCAAGAATACAATTATTTTCGCATAAATTATTCAATTCAATTATTTTTTAAAAAATTGATAAATTCTTTCTTTAATTCTTCACAATTATTAAATTATTTTTCTTAAATAATAAAACTTTTCACGAGAATTCAATTACTTAAAAAAGAATTTAAAAAAATTCTTCTCAAGAATTCAATTATTTTCATAAACGCATTACAATTTTTTCAGATATTCAATTATTTTTAAAAAAAATTGATAAATTCTTGAATTCTGTTTTTAATTCTTCACAATTATTAAATTATTTTTTCAAATAATAAAATTTTTCATAAGAAAAATTAATATTAAAAAAAAAATTAAATAAAATTCTTCACAAAAATTCAATTATTTTCCCAAAAAATAAATTTTTTTACGAGAATTCAATTATTTAAACAGAATTAAAAAAAATTCTTCGCAAGAATTTAATTATTTTCATAAATTATAAAATTTTTCTCATAAATTAAATTTTTAAAAAAAAATTGATAAACTCTTTCTTTAATTCTTCAAATTTATTCAATTATTTCAACAAATATACAAAAATTTTTGACGATAATTCAATTATTTAAAAAAAAATTAAATTAAATTCTTCGCAAGAATTCAATTATTTTCAAAAACAATCAAATTCTTTTCAGAAATTCAATTATTTTTTTAAAATTTGATAAATTCTTTCTTTAATTCTTCACAATTATTCAATTATTTTTTTTAAATAATAAAATTTTTCAGAAGGAAAATTAATAATTTAAAAAAAATTAAATAAAATTCTTCGCAAGAATTCAATTATTTTCATAAATAGTAAAATTCTTATCAGAAATTCAATTATTTTTTACAAAATTGATAAATTCTTTCTTCCCAATTATTCAATTATTTTCCCAAATAATAAAATTTTTTCACGATAATTCAATTATTTAATAAGAATTAAATAAAATTCTTCGCAGGAATTCAATTATTTTCATAAATTATAAAACATTCCTCAGAAATTCAATTTAAAAAAAAAATTGATAAATTCTTTCTTTAATTCTTCACAACTATTCAATTATTTTTCCAAGTATTAAAATTTTTTTGAAAAAAATACTTAATACTAAAATTTAAATTTTTAAATTTTTTTTAAATTTCAAAAGATTGAAATCGTTGAAAATTTTAATTATTTTAAAACTGTAATAATATTTAAATTTTTACTTTGAAAAAATTGGTATGAATTAATTATTTTCTTAATTGCTGTGAAGGATTTAAATTAAATTTTATTTGTTTACTTTTCAAAATTACATTTAAATCCAATTGTATTTTTTAGGATAAAAATTTAGAAAATAATTGGATTTTTCAAACAGTCAGGGAAATACTGAATCAAATTTTTGTGAATCGACTAAAACTTTTTTTTATTCGTTAAAATTAAATTTCTATAGCTACTTTTTTTTACTATTTTTTCAGTATTAAAACTACTTTCTTGATTCTTTTTTAAAATTAATTATTGAGAGCTAAGCCTGTGAAATCAATAATTTTTCCTCGGATATGATGTTCGTTCTATAAAATTGATGATTGTCTAATTCATCATTTATAGATTCTGATGATTGACTTATGTCCTTTAGAATTAACGGAATTTCTACAATACTTGAAAATAGCTCAATGAAAATTGGAAACAAAAATTTCTTTGATATCATTTTGATTTAGAGTGTAGGATAGATGAATAATGCCAAGCAAGCCAAATTTCTTATAACTTTTAATAACTAACTATATCAATAATTTATATAGATAGAACATTCTTTCAATTTTGATAGCAATGAAAAATTTATTTAACAATTTTAATGATTTTAAATAATTTAAAAATTGATTTCTATATTACTTTTCTATCTTTTTCTATAATATGTTACTTAAAATATTTATTACTTGACTATTAAATTAATCAAAAGTTTAATTAAATTTTTTTTTATAAATTTATTTACTTAAAACTTTAATTATATTTAAAACTTACAATTGTTTAAAGAGAGCGTACACTGAAATTTTTAACTAAATCAAGAAAATAAAAACTTAAATATTCAATTAAATTATTTTTAAGGTTATTTTTTTGCGAAGAATTCAATTGTCACAAAATAAAAGGTGACAAAAAATATTTCGACCCTTTTCGAATTTTTGTTTTCTTAAAAATTGGTAGATTTTAAAATCCATGCGTAATTTTGTAGAAAATATTTTGTTGAATCCACAAAAAAATGCTATTAACAAAAAAATTGATTTTTAAAATATTTGAAGCATTTTTTTGAAAAAAAACTATTTCTAGACTAAAAATGCGAAGAATGCCATTTTTATTCAATTTCTTTATTTCAAAATTCATTTCTTTATTTTTCTAACTGTTTTTTTAAATTATACAAATTTATTAAGATAGGATTTAAAATATACAAAAATTCTTTTAAGAAATTAAATTATTTTCGGAAAATTATATTAAAATATTTTTAAAAACTAATTCCTAGAATTCTTCTACAACATTTTTTTAAGATTCAAATATTTTTGAAGAATGTAAATAAAAAATTATAAAAATTTACTTTTTTAGACTTATTAAAATTTCGGAGAAATTATGATTATATTTCAATAATTTGATTTTTTTATTTATATTTTTCAAAAATTCAATTATTTTTTAAAAATTTTACTCATTTTCCGTAAACTTTCTTAATTTTCTGTCAAAAGAATTTTGTCAGGGAAAATAATTTTAATGTCAGTAAAAATTGTCAGGGAAATTGATAAACTGAAACTTGTGATCACTTTGAAAATAAATTTTTTTGTGGATTCAAAACATATTTTTCACAAAATTACCCGTGGATTTCAAAATTTGAATTTCTACCAATTTTCAAGATAAATAAAAATTCAAAAATGGTGAAAATATTTTATGACCGATTTTATTTTATGAACATTGAATTCCTTTCAAAAAATTACTATAAAAGCAATTTTAAAAAACTTGAATTAAATTAAAAAGTTGAAATTAAATAATTAATACTATCTGCATAATATTATTATTATTAAGTACATTAATATTATATTAATATTAATTTAAAAATATTTCTTTTTTTAAAAACAATCGACTCCATTATTGATTATTAAATAATAAAATTCCACTCCTGTTAATAATTATTTTTATAAATTATTTACTTTCGTAATTTCTATGCTGATTTCATTAAATCGTATAAATTTTGAAAACCCCTAATTTTTACAAAGAATAAAATAGTATAAAAAAATGTTTAATTCTAAAAAGGTTAAGATTATATTTTTTTTTACTTTTTCATATTAATGGAATATAATCACTGGTTTTGAAAAAAGGCGAAATAATTTCAATTTCTAAGTAAAATAATTATTTTTGATTTGAAAGATTAACATAAAAATTATAAATAGAATTTTTCGATTTATTCAAAACAAAATTATAAGAATGTTTTATATTGCAATTTATTTCCATAAGCAATTTTTTGAAATTCCATTAACGTTCCTAATAGCTTCTCAATTTTGCTTGAAAAAATATCAATCTTAAGGGAATAAATATTTATTGTCAAACGTTAATGCTAAATTCAAGCGTAGAAAGTTCTTTTTTGCTTTTAAAAATTCAGAAAACTAAATTTTATTTTTTACAGTAGGAAGAAAAAGACAAAATAAGATCATAATTCCCAAAATTCATAATTTTAATGATATTAATATAAAGTTTTTTTATTCTTATTATTTATTAATAAATAAATGCATAATAATACATAGTTCTTGCCTTTCGGCTTTGAACGACTATTTTTTTTTTTTTTTTTTTTTTTTTTTTTTTTTTTTTTTTTTTTTAATTTATAGCATTAATTTTTGATAATGAGTATTATGGGTTGATTTATAATGCGATTATTCCCAAATTCTAAGAGTTTATAAGGGCATAATGATTTTTGAAATTTAGAATTAATTTGCAGCTTGATTAACTAATTATAATAAGTAGACATTTAATACCATTATTATTAATAATAATAACAATAAGGCTTGTGAACATGAAGTGTTTATTTGTATGTTTCGTGAGTAACTGCAACGAAATCTAAAATAATGTATCTTGAGTTTTATCCTTGTGGTATTACTTTAGCGATATGTTTCGACTTGAAGAGAATAGAATTTTTTTTTGTAAATATATAGAAATGATCTTAGAATTTCTTTCTCTTCGTGGGGAAAAAAAGCTAGTCTTCTTACAAAAATTTTTATTGAGGAGAATTTTTTTTTTAATGGTAACGAAAAAAGAGACAAAGCATTCAATTGTGGAATCTAATTTAACAAATAATATTGAAATGAAATTGTTTTTTTTAAAGAATTGCTTTTTCCTCCTATCACTAAATTAAAATCTACTTAATAAACTCACAAAGTCAATTTTATTGAATTCTTTCTAATTTTATTCATACTTACGTTTTGTAAATAACTTTGAGAAATTTGGTAGTGGTGGTGGAAATTAATTCTTTCCATAATATAATAATTATTGTTTATAAAATGTAAAAAAAGGAAAATATACATTTTTTATTTCTATTAATACGATTTTTGTTATTATCTGTCAGTAAAAATATTTTTAACTGGTATTATTTAGAAAATACATTTTCTATCTTCAGACGCTCGTCAAAAATATGATACATATATTGTATTTTGTTAAAAGAACTTTAAAAAAAGGAACCCAATAAACGTTCTATTTTGTAAAATAAGTAAATGGATTAATTTTTTTTAATTCCTAATTCGATTTTTTCTCGAAGCAAAGAAGAAAAAAAAATTTTCAAGATTTTCTGTTTCAAGACGATACGTATTTAGATTGAGGAAAATTGGCAGAACTTCGAAGAATTACATAAATTCATTCGTGATGTAATGCATTCTTTTATTATTCGCTTCGTTGTCAACAGGCGAATTTCAACTTGTTAAAACTTCATTGATTCATTTCATGAGGACATTCAATTTGACTTGCGATTAACAGTAATGAGGAGAATTTATAGTCTTCAATTGTATTTTATTATCTACTTTTTTTAAGTATTTTAAAATTGAATTTTCATTATTCTATAATCACACCTACGGATTAATTTATTTATTAATTAATTCTAGGATTATCCTGTTTTTTTAGATTTTATTGACACTCAATGACAGAGTTGCTATTGAAGTCTTGAATATTATTTTAAATTTTAATATTGCAAATTAGATTTATATAGGTATTATTATAACACTAGAAAAATGATGAAGTTTCTCTTTTTAATATCAATAGATATTAAAAACTAATACCTGTTTTTAAACTTTTGAAATTTTCTAGAAGAAACAAAATTTAATTTCTTTTAAAGTATTTCTTTAACACAAATAAAAAAAATATAGAAAATAATCAGTATTCTTTAAATATATTCAAAGTGCCTGTTTGTACATAAATTTAAACTTAAAAACAAAAACTTTATTAAAAAAAAAATATTTAATTGTGATTAAAAAATAGAAATTTATGGAAATTTTTTCACAAAAGGAACTAAAAATTGTGATTTTAAAAATTTGATTGACAAATCGAATTTTTTTCCTTTATTTTCTAAAAAATCTTTTACAAAATTCTCTCAGTTTTATTTTCAATTAAAAATTATAATTGACAAATCGAATTTATAAAATTCTTTTTCCTGCAGATATTTCAAATAAACTTTATAAGTTAATTTGAAGCAAATATTATTTAATCGATTTAAATAAAATTATTTGATTCGAGTAAATTATCTCAAAGGACTTCGTGAATAAATGTAATTTAATATTTTTTTATATTAATAAAATAATAGTGAAAATAATTTTACAATTAAAGAACTTCGTAACTAAATGTAATTTAATATTTTTTTACATAATTGTAAAATTATTTTCACTATATTTTAGTTCAATTATTATTTTCTAGAATTTTTAACTAAAATTCTTCTTTAAATCAATTATTTTTAATATTTTTTGAAAAAGATCTTTGAGAATTTTCAAATCTATTTGTTTAGAATTCAATTTTATTAAGAAATTCCGATTAATATTCGGAAATTTTTCAATTAATAAATATTTATAAAATAAAAAATTGAAATAATTTCAAAAGAAAAATTCAGTTAAATTTTTTCAAAAAAATTAATTTTACAGAATTGTCAGTTAAAAGTGTGAAAAATTTAAATTTTCAAAGATTTTAATTTGAAATCTTTTCAAAATTCAATTATTTTTAATAATTTAGGCTATAATGCTTTTAATAGTCAATTATTTATTATTTAAAATTTTAAATAAAATTCATTTATAAATCAATGTTTATTAGAAAATTCCCCTAGAGTTCAATTAAAAGATAAAAATATATAATTTCTTGAATACTTGAATGTTTCTAAAAATTGAATTCTCATACAAAATTTGATCAACAAATAAATAATTGAATTTTTTCGACGAAAATTCCAATTTAATTTTTAAAACTAATTTTATTTCATTTTTTGAGGAATTCGATTAAAACTGTATTAAAAGATAATTTAAATTCTGCGATGAGTTTTATTATTTACGAAAATAATTGAATTCCTAAAAAGAATTTTATTTATTTATATGAAAATATTTGAATCTCTATAAAAATTTTATTATTTATGAAAATAATGGAAATATTGTAAAGAAATTTATAAACAGTTTGTAAATAATTGAAATTTTTTTGAAATTTTTATTACCTATATTATATAAAAATAATTAATTGCTTGAGTAGAATTTTATTAAAAATTTGTTTAAATAATTAAATTAAATATTCGTATAGAATTTTATAAAAAATTTTTTTTTATTACATTTTTTTAAATAATTGAATTGAATGTTCGTGAAGATTTTTATAAAAATTTTTGTTTAATAATTGAATTCTTTTGGAAAATTTTTTTGAAATAGTAGAATATTGAAAATCATTGAATTAAGAAAAATATTTCAAAATAATTGAATTTTTTCAATGAATTAAAATTTTTGATAATAATTGATTTCTTGTGATAAATACTATACTGTCTATGGAAATAATTGAATTTTGCAATGAATTTTATTAAAATTTCTGAAAATAATTAAATTTTGTCGAAGAATTGTGCTATTCATGTATAAAGATAATTGAAATGTTGCCATTTTTTTATATTTTTTGAAAATAATTGAATTTTTGCAATATAATTTGAAACTTCTCCAAAATTCAATTTTTTAGTATTTTTAATTAAAATTCTTCTAAATAAATCCATTATTTTCAATAATTAATTATTAAAAAAGGTAATTAATTTTAGAAGAATTTGAATTATTAAAATTTTTTAAAAATCGAAGTTCTTTAAAATTTCTATAATAAATTTATTGAAAATAATATAAATTTTATAAAAATTGAAACCTTTTAAAGTTCATCTTTTTATGAAAATTGTAAACGCAACTCTTTAACAATTCAATTAATTTTGAAATATTAAGGTAAAATTATTCATTAAATAATTAATAACTTTATTTAGTTTTTCAAGAAGTAAGTTGTTTATAGAAACAAATTGTTGTCAGAAATAGTAAAAAATTGAAGGAAAAGACACAAAAATTGAGAATTTTCTTACGAATTCTAAAAATTTAATTTTTTCCAGTATTTTTAATAAAAATTCTTGATTTTTCCCTGACCAATTGCATTTGCCTGACTTCCCTGACCTGTGGCAACTGAATGACTTAATATTTGAATTACTTTTAAATAAAAAGTGTTTGTACATTTTATCAAAGAAATGGAAATAAATAATTAATTTTGTTGGTGGTAAAATTAATAAACATAATTTTTTTTGTAGTAAATAATAATAGGGAAATAACCCGGCCTTTCCCTGGGGGTACAGCTCCTATCCCCCACTTACGATTTTACAAGTCTTAGTTTCTCGCGCTCAATCCCCTCTTCTTGAGCTCAAGTCCATGAAAAGTCAGAAGTCACATCTCTCGTCAGTGTTTCCGAAGAGTGCGGTTCTTCAGTATAGCTACAGCGAATATCGACAGCCACTTGTGTTTTTGTTCTTGAGTGCACGTGAGATCTATAAACAACCGGTGAGTTTCAATATTATTATCATCATCATTACTACTGTTTTATTCACATAACAAGTGAAATTGTTGTCAAATATTTCATCAACCCTAAACAAACAATTTTTATTAAAAATAATTAAAGAAAATTTTTCATTTTCCTAAAGTTTTCAAGTTTTTTTTCTTTTTAAATGTTTTCAAAAACAATAGAATGAAAGAAACAAGTAACTTAAATATTTTCTTCGTTAATAAATTCTTTAAAGTGTAAAAAAAATTTTACCTACTTTTCTGACGATCAATTCAAATTTGAAGAGAGTGTCAAAAAAAATAATCATTCCTTTTTGATTTCTCAAAATAATTTTTCTTTTCAATTAGAAAATTATATTTCTATTTTATTGTGAAAAAGTAAAAAGTTTACATACATTTGGAATTCTTTCAATTACTTTTCCAAAATAATATTAGGTATCGGTAAATAATTAAATATATATTGAATTTAAATAATTTTAGATAAACTTACAACTTTCATGCAAATTCAAGAAAATAGAATTAAAATAATTATTATAGTTATAATTATTAAAAAGAATATTTTAATTTGTTGTATATTTTTTTCTGATGCAACTCTTTTCTACAAATATGTAATTTTTGTAATTATTTATTTTTATCTTGAAACTTTTACCTGTAAATATTTATAGTTTTTACTGGTTGTATTTATCTTATAATAAATTAAATTCAATTTAGTTTGTTATATTTTATTCGCAATATATCATGTATAATCATTTCGCTGTAAGAATTTTAATTTCAAACATGAAAAAAATTGATAACAAGAAAAAGGTGTGATATATATAATAATATTTAAACACTTTTGTCTAGAAATAAAATTTTGCGGCATTAATGAACATATATACACGTGAATCGATTCTACAAAAATTTATTTAGTGCGAACTTCCGTAAAAAATTTCGCAAAATTACTTTGCGAAATTCCCTTAGAATATCGTTTCACTTGGGCACTAAGCGTAAAAAATGCATTAAGAAATTAGAAATATTAAAATATTTTAACAAAAGAAAATAACAAATGTATAATTGTACAATATATAAATAATATTTTCTTATGTAATGAAAATGTAATAGGTATAGACATAAATATTTCGTTTTATTCGAAAAGTTAAATTAAACAGAGTAGGGTGTCAAACCTTGAAACCGGAAACACTGCATGAATTTTACGTCTTGAAAAAACAATAATTTCGCCTTCAATTATTTTTTGGACAGATTATTTTAATTTATTGTTAAGTATTTAAAACTTCAATTGAAATTTATTATTTTCATTCAAGAATTGCAACAAGAAGTTTAGGAAACGTTCTCAAATGATGTCACGTTTTTGGTGGCGAGAGAGGGGGGGGGGGGATCTCTACTAAACTTGACACAAAATGCATTTTTCTCATGTAAACAAAGTCCTTAAAATTGAGTGACATCATTATACTAAACGTTCCCTTGGGCATTAATATAATTTTTTATAAAAAGCGAAAATTTTAAAAATTCAAAAGTTATGCTAATGACGAGGGTAAGTGTATACCATTTACTACGAGTGTACGACTTTAAGAAAAGTATTATTATTTATTACTATTTAATTACTGCGCGCAACATAACCTCCAAGAATACGTCAAATAACTTTTAAAAAATATGGTCCGCGATTTAGAATTTTTTAATTTGGAAAAATCAAGTTCAATGGCCTCGAAAACTTTAAATATGACACTAAGAAGAGAGGTTAATTGAAACGAATTAAAATAATACCACAAAATTTCAGAAACGACATTCATTTGGATTAAAATAATTATGAATTTTTGATTCAATTAAAATCATTTTAATGTGATTGAATTCCTTTTTATTAGAATTAATTAAAATATCAACAATATTTATGAAATAAAGGGAATTCAATTGTCCCCAAACCCCCAAACTGTATAATGATATTAAACATAATTAAATTGACAGGGTGGCCACATGTCAGTAAAGTCAAGGAAATGTCAGGGAAAAAAATATTTTGTCAGTAAAGTCAGGGAAATGTCAGGAAAAAAAATATTTTGTCAGTAAAGTCAGGGAAATGTCATAAACCGTCATTTTTGTCTTAAAACAACATGTACGTGAACTACTGTAATTTCTCGGTATTATTTATGTGGAAATTCTAATTCACAGAGTTTTTTTTGAAAAAACGAAAATTTCGCATATCCATTATATGCGGAATTTCCGCAAATATTACCGGTAAACTTTTCACGTGGGCGTCCCTGATTCCTTTCTGCCTTGTCGTCCAGAGTATACTTTCTCTGCCTGCAATGCTCTACACGGAGAGACCGAGATTACTAATTTTTGTATAAAATCACACTAGAATTTACTATATTCACATTGCAACCACCGGAAATAAGGGGACTTTTTGTATTTTTTACTATTTTCTACACTAAGTCACTAATCCCGACAAATGTTCACCAAATTAGCAAAGTTTCTTACTATTTCGTCCAATAGTTCCAAACAACTGTAGTAAAACTCAGAAACATTGTGTACGTAAAATTACTATAGTCGTTGTAAATGCAGAAAGAAAGAGTGAAAAGAAAAAATACGGATTTTTGTCGCCGGTTTCCCGTCAATTCTTGACTAGTGGAGGTAAACTGGAAGGATTTTTACATACACAGACACACACACTCACACACTTATATATTTGTTGTTGGATAAATATTTGAAGACACACACATGTTTATTTCACTTATATGTATAGACGCGGTTAATTAATACACTAATACACAACTGCACGCACGACAACGAATTTCACTGAAAGTATACATCTTTGTTTCCTTATATATTGAATGATGAAAATTTACAGCACTTACGAGAAAGCAGTTTACTTTTAACAACTTATTATAAGACATAGTTCTTGGGACAGGAATAAATGCAAAGTTTATTAAGGGGGTATTCTGGTGTTTCGGTTTCAAAAAATCGATTTTTTTTTTTTTGCATATTTCGGAAGTACTATATTTGGAGAATTCACTGTCTAAATATTAGCCCGAAATACCAAGTATTATGGAAGTAACATCTCATAGTCGAGATCAGGTTAGGACCGCACAGTGGGGAGAATCGTGAAAACATACCAAAAACATCAAAACATTCTTCGATTTACATAATGCTTGGTAGTCTTATGTTTTCCGGGTTGCTGATTACGAATCCGATGTCAGATTTTAAAAATTCAAAATGGCGGATCCAATATGGCGGCCGAAATTTTTAAAAATCGATCCAATTTGCCTGAAACTTGCAACTCGGGGGTTTTTGAGGTCGTTGATTACGAATATGATATCACTTTTCAAAAATTCAAAATGGCTGATCCAATATGGCGGCCGACATTTTTAAGAATCTATCTAATTTGTTTAAAAATTGTTATTCGGGGGTTTTCGGGGTCACCGATTACGAATCCGATGTCAGATTTTCAAAATTTTCAAAATTAAAAATAGCGGATCCAATATGGCGGTCGATTTTTTTAAAATTCGATTCAATTTGCTTAAAAATTATTAGTCGCGGGCTTTTGGGGTCGCTGATTACGAATCCGATGAATTTTTAAATTTTTCGGTCGCCATATTGGAAACGACATTTTGAATTTTTGAAAACTGATATCCTATTTGTAATCAGCGACCCCGAAAACCTCAGAGTAACAATTTGCAAGCCATTTAAATGATTTTTATTTTTCGTCCGTCATATTGGATCTGCCACTTTGAATTTCGAAAATTTTGAAATTTTGACACCAGATTCATCATCAGATACCCCGAATACCCATGAGTAAAAATTTTCAGGCAAATTGAATCGATTTTTAAAAAAATCTTCCACCATATTGGATCCGCCATTTTGAATTTTTGAAAACTGATATCAAATTCGTAATTATCGACCCCGAAAACCCCCGAGTAACAATTTTCAAGCCCGTCTGAATGATTTTTATTTTTCGTCCGCCATATTGGATCGGCCATATTCGAAAATACTGAATAAGTAATTCGGACTAAATATTTCAGTTTTACCTGAAAGTCAATTACTACCAATTCCGTTTTGATATTTCGCTAACTTTTTAATTCTTTTGAAATCCGTAATATTCTGAAGTAAGTACGTTTAAAATCAAATATCTATAGTACAGTTGATATAGCTGCGCGAAATAGTTGTTTGGCTCCGGCATTGAAAATCGAAGGTTCAAATCTTCGGACCGTCAAATTTTTTTCTACATAAAATTTTAAAACGGAATTCATAAGAATTAAAATATTTTAATTCTTTTCAATTTCTCGCTTCTTACTGGGTGACTGAACATCGTATGACAATGGATAGGAAGAAAACGAGAAGTAGCAGAATTCGTCCAAGTTTTGGTGATAAAAAAAGAAACTTTCGCGGTAATCGATACACAACGGGAAAAAAAATTGAATTTGTCAGTACATCATCTCGCAAATTGAAAGATAGTGGTGATTTTGATGTAACGTACGATGACACTTTTAATTATAGTTTGTTAAGCTTCAGTTTAGTTTTTACAGCGTTGCAATCTTTAGTGAAGTGTAAATTGTGTGATGGTGACGTACAATTTCTTAAAAAATCTCCGCAGGGATTAGGATTTAAAGTAGTCGTGAAATGTTCTTGCCAGGAATCTACAATAAACTCTTGCCCAATGATAAAAAATGCATATGAAGTCAACAGGCGATTTTGTTTTGCTATGCGGCTACTTGGTGTCGGTTTGGCTGGCATAAACATGTTTTGCTCAATAATGGAACTGGGTTCTGGAGTCAGTATAAGTTGCTTTTACTCATTGCTTGAAAAGATACATACTGCCGTAAAAGCCGTATCTGAGATGGTTTTAAAAAAAGCAGTGAATGAAGAAAAACAGAAGAACATTGAAAAGGGTTATCCAGAGGACGAGCTCACTGTGTCTGGCGATGGTTCATGGGCAAAGCGTGGATTCACATCACTTTTAGGAATTGTCTCGCTAATCGGAAAATATTCGAATAAAATTGTGGATGTGAT